CACACACACACACACACACACACACACACACACACACACACACACACACACACACACACACACACACACATATGCATGTATATGTATTTATGTACATGTTTGTGGGGTGAGGGTGGATGTAAGCGTATTTATGTGTATTTAAACACCGACGTACAAACGTCTTCGATTATAAAAGCGAAATGAATGTAGGAAGCCATTGACTACAAATAAGATTTGTAAAACAGTTGATCTCCAACGTTTGAAAACCGTTTGAGCAGACCGTATGTAATAATCTACACCATCTCGTCCCTAGCCATTGCAGGTGAGGTTCAAGCTCCTTCGGCCGAGAGGGAACAGCAGGCACCCACTTCCGCTCCTACTTCCTCTAGTACGAAACGCCGTAGTACAGTGTCAATAACGATCTACAAAGCTATTTTATACTTTTTTCCAATAGCTTTAGAATTCAAGTTATAACCGTTGCGAATAGAAGAAATATCTTGTTTAAATGGAACATACCAGATTGTGTCAATTCGCCCGGTACAAAGAAAATAAAATGTTTGACGAATAAGAGGAGCGCAAGGATCGGGACGCAGTGACCGTTGCGGCAGGTGTGGATCCTCGCCCGAGACGTTACACTTGGCAGACGCTGTTCGACCGTCAACAAAACAATACTTTGAAATATCCTCTAGGGTCAGGATGTGACTTACAGGGGCCTCTGTCATTTCGCCCATCGTACTTCTGACAACGAGTTCCAACAAGGCAAGGTAAGGAATTAACGGGAAGAATTATTAAGGGTGTACACTGTGAAATGCGCTTTGCACCGTAAACTCCATAACCCACACACGTACCGGGTGTTTGTGCCACGGACACCAACGCTTTTCTTTAGGGCCAAGTTGCTGTTTACAAGATATCGGTATCTTGTCCATGGGCCATGGGTGACATTATAGGAGGAGGTGTGTACATTTTATTTATTGATTCTAGGATAGATGACAGGTTCTCAAATATCAGGTGTACGGGGGGCAATAAGGGCGGTAGATAGAATATTTAATAACAAGATACTTGAGAAATCAGTCAAAATTGCCTTTGAGATTTTAGAAGCAAGATATATAATTTAGACAGTTATAATTGATATACAATAAGCACCAGATAAGGCATGGGTAAAGTTTAGGTGATTGTTTACAGCAGAACTGCACCCATCAGAGACCAAGTTTCCAAATCATGTCAACAATCTAAAGGGATCCGGTTGGGTATTGGGAAGTTAGACTACTGTAAAGATAGTGGTATGAACCTTCCTAATCTAGGGGCATTGCCCTTGGACTATCTCCTGATTGCCAAATATCCTCAGCCAGAGGCTCTGCCGTCAGACCCCTTCCCAGTCGCCGTGCATCCATAACCATCGATCCTGCCCCTCAGATCCCTTTCCAATTACTAACTATTTGTACACTTACAGATAGTGAGTTTATCCTGTGGTTGAATTGAGGGTGGATTGGAAATGACAAACATCAGGCATATTTGCTGCAGCTGAAACATGGTTATTGCATTTGACTAAATTTAGTGTTATCCCAGAGATCATTGCAATTTTAGTAAGAGATCATTTTCACCACATTGTTGGGCACTTAGTCTCAGTCTCATATTTTTGTCATTTCCCGGTAAATATAAGGCTGCTGCAGATTTAGATGCATTGATTCTTACTCTATTTTTGATGGCAATCTATTTTGCTCTTGCTCTATCTCCATGCGTTGCTCTCGGTAACATTAACCAAAATGTCAAACGCATCACATATATAGGGAATGCTCATTTAATAAGTATTTTAGTATAATTTTATATAAATCAAAGTTAATTAAAAGTATATTGCATTTCTAATAAATTGACAATGATTGGTTATAGATCATAAGCAACATGTCCCATGAGTTACTGTACAGTTAAGTTATTTGCTGCAAGGCAAGGAAGGCTGGAATTGAATCTGGAAACATGTGGGGGTCTTAGTCTCTGCACAGCATTTGCTGCGGCTTATTTTCATCTCTGACATTCTTTCCCTGTGTAGATTATGTTATATATCAGTGATTGTAGTTTTTTACTATCTTTATGACAGTTCCCTCGGATTTTCCCAGTATTATGACATTTGCTATATAAATATATACCAAATACTTAAAACAAAGATGGTGTGGAGATTCAGAAGCACTAAGGCAGTATCCTCAAAGAAATCAGGACTCACACAGGACTTAGTCACAGGCAGATATGGTTAAAAATTTCTCATACTTTTTGTTTTTTGTAACAGTCTTTGTAAATTGATTGTCAATCTAAGCATAGCAGCTATAGAGAAAAACTAAGATGGTGACCTTAGAAAATGCATAAAATAACATGGGGGGAGGATTAATTTGGCAAAAATGAGAGTACTCTTTCAGTCACTTTTGAAACTGCAGTCTTCATTCCTCTAGTATATTTTAATGAGATAGAACCCCTAGACTAGCCATGTGGTTTGCTGTCAAATAAGGAACCCGTTTAAGCTATATCTTGTGTTGGGATTTTATTTGGCCTTTGCCAAATAGTCAAGGTAGAACTTTTGCCACATTATTAAACACAAAGTTTGATCTTTGTTATGAATGCACTAAGTTAGGGCAATTCTTGCAGTCTTTGATATAAGAAATAACCTGCAGACATGAATGGTAAAACCACAAATAAAGGAAAAGGATCACAGAAAGTGCTGTTCACAGCCAAAATCTACTCAAATCCACTTGGCACTCCCAGCCTTGTTTTGCAGACCACCCCTGCTTTGTTATATGGTGAAGATTATTTAGATGATTATTTATTAAAAGAAGTGGCTTTGTTTTTCAATAACCACATCCTTCATTTACACTGCTGTTCTATAGAACTGGGTAGACTTTATTCCCAAAAGAAATTTGGGATTCATATCTTGCTAAGGTTTTCATTTTTAACCCAATTATTGTGGTGTAAAGAAAATTGACTCATGGCCAGTAATGCAGGGTTGTTGGCACTTCATCCAGTATTGAAATCACAACATTAACCATCTGATAGCTTGCAGCAATTAGTTATAGACAAACTTCCTTCTAACAAGCCAATGGCGCTTTTATATCAATATGTAGTACTGTCTATGGCTCATTCCACTAGTCATTGTATGATTTCATGCCAACTGCATTCAAAAGGTTAATAAGTTGATAGGAAAGCAATAAGTGTGAATTTTCTTATTATTCTTTTTAAATTTAGTTTCATGCTTTCATCCTAAATATCACTGTACTAGGATTTAGGAAAGAAATAATTTAGTAGAAGTCTCTACAGTGTGTTATGCTTCCAATTTCCAATTCCAATTTGGTAGTATGCTGGATGTGAAGGAAGTAAAGGATTTGTGTAATATTGGAGAGCAGTCTTTCTTTTAATGCTTTTAAATGTTTTACGGATACTATTTATGTTTTTTTTATTATCTTTGACACTGTTTATTATACTCTACCTTTAATAGTATACTTTCAATTTTGTAGATACTCAACTGCTATACATTAGTTCTCAGTTTGCATTCCCCCTTCCCCTCTTTTTCTTTTCTTTTTCCCCATTAGTGAATCATAACTTCCATTATCAACCCTTTGTCTCTTTTATCTGAACATTCTCTCTCTCTCTCTCTCTCTCTCTCTCTCTCTCTCTCTCTCTCTCTCTCTCTCTCTCTCTCTCTCTCTCTCTCTCTCTCTCTCTCTCTCTCACTCTCTCACTCTCTCACTCTCTCTCACTCTCTCTCACTCTCTCTCTCTCTCTCTCACTCTCTCTCTCTCTCTCTCTCTCTCTCTCTCTCTCTCTCTCTCTCTCTCTCTCTCTCTCTCTCTCTCTCTCTCTCTCTCTCTCTCTCTCTCTGTGTTTGTTTGTTTGTGTTTCTTACCTAGTTGTTTCAATACAGGGACATTTTTGGCACACACCATATTGAGAGATTGTTCCATGTTTCAATAAGTTTGTATGGGAAACTGAACTTTATTGCCTCTTTTACTTTCAATTAAAGTGTGAACTCCATACTACTTCAATGTGCCCTAGACTAGGTCTTCTGATAGCTGTAATGATCTTTACCAAATCTTCGTCCACATGCATGAATACCCCTCTTCATTTTGGCAATCAACCCCAATATTTTATGGACTGATCCTTGAGAACTCTGCTAGTTACTCGTCTCCATGTTGATTACTTCCCTCTAATTGCTGTGCTCATTTGTTTTTAATGTTCAAGTCTTTTATCATTCAAAGAGTTTGCCTTTCACTCCACCGAGGTGTTCTAATTTTGACAACAGTCTCAGTGACACCTTCTCAAATGCCTTTTTAAAGTCCTTGTACACAATCCACCCAGCTGTCTCTGTCTTGTAATATTTTGGATGGTGTCATAAAGATATGAGATTTGCTACACATGATCTTCCCTCCCTAAAACCAAATTGCTTATTAAATATCTTGTGTTTTTCAAGTACTTCAACCCATTGTTTCCTACTTATCCTTTTTAGAAGCTTATATATTATGGTGGTTAACAAAACTGGTCTATAATTTAGATGGTTTTGCTTGTCATTGCCATTATATAAAGGTGTGATTTTACTTTTGTAGGGGAGTCCAGTTTGGATTCAGTGACACATATTAAATCTGGTTTATTAATTTCTACTACTTTATCTAGTTTTAATAATTGAGGATAAACTACATTTGTATATACTATTTCTATATAATCTTTTGGAATACCTTTTGGTTGAAAGACTAGTGTTTGTTTGTCTCAACATTTTGGTTATCATTTTGGTTACTATAGTCGATATGTTTTGCTTGGAAGCCTCTCATCCTCTAAATGAACAAGTTTTTATTATTCTGCAGTGATTCTGTTGTCATCTTTGGTCATATTTTTCCTGCAAATTTACATTTTCTTTGTGTATTTTCAAACGTTCTGCTATCAGGCTATCTACTTTGGCTTTAGCCCAATGCTGATGGGCATGACTTGTATGTATGTGTTATGCCCACTGTGTGTTACTTGTTTGATTGTTTTAACACATAGATGGCTCCACTTGAGCTAATTATGAGTACTACCCGTTTACCCTTTTCCTTGATTTATGAAAATATTTTATCTTATTTTACTGTTACTAATGTTTATAACAGTATAGTAATTGTAATGTATATAATATAAATAACATCATCTATATTCATAGCACTAGTCAAAAGTACATTTTACCTGCCAATTCAAATCATGTAAGGTCACAAGGTCTACTAATTGACTCCTTTGTGGCTAAGCACTAGCAGAGACATTTCACAAAAAATATAAAAAGAATGATCACAGCATTTCCCCCATTTTCTATTTATTTTCCCGTCGACATTGGGTTAACCATTTTATGTTCTGTCCCCTGTATTTTTGGTTAATTTTGTTACATACAGATGGCTCCACATGTGCTCAGCCGGCAAGGAGTCTATCACTAGGCCCTAGTTACCAATCCTGATTTTCCCATTCCTTGAATTGGCAGAAAAATGTGTTTTTCTTATTAATACCATTGCTATCGATACTGTTATTATTGTTTTTGATGTTATGATTATTAAATTGTCATTAAAATGTTTTAGACAATGAAATGATACAAAAGACCCTTTCCTAAAGTGAAGGAAATTGGGAAACAGGTGAGATAGGTAGTTCTGATAACTGGTTATTTGGTGATTAAGAACTCGTAGAGCCATTATGTGTAAATACAATAAATAAACGTGTTTTACATTGGGCATGGAATGTATTCTTGCCACATGGGGCGAATGGGTTAAGAGCCTCAGTTCTAACTGCTGCTACTGCTTCATTTCAACTTCATTTTCCAGGTCTGATCTTAGTTATTGCCCATTTAACAAAAACAGAGCTATACTCAGTAGTTGTCTCTGTGCACAAAACACTTACCATGTAGGATTTGCAGTCACTTCTCACCTCCCTTACCTTTGCACTCACATCCAACACACAAAGCCTCACTATCTTTTCAAAATTTTCACATATTTGTTTACTTTATAACCCCAGTTTATTGTAATGAAACAGTTACTATGCCAGTGACTAAATTAAAAAGTTAAAGGATTGTTAAAGTTGAAAAAAGCATAGAAACACTTAATTGTAATGTCTTAAGAGGCAGTTATATTTATTATTTTTTTAATCTGGATTTATATTACATATTTCATTACATGAGATCTTTCTCTATTTATATTTTCCTGTTGTCAAGACATTGTTGATTATCACCAGTTTACACATCTTTTAATGTTCATTATTTTCAGATGAAGATGCCTCCAGTACTCTTGGCTCTCCAAGAGAGTGTGAATGAAGCAGAAGCTGACCAAAGCAAGAAAATGGCAGCAGAAACAACAACTATCAGCCAGCAACCTCTCAATCCAGAGCCTGAAGGACTTCCTCCCATTATCCTGGGCAAGCAAGGAGATCAAGCAGTGTCAGCCAATGGAAGTGTGGACAACAGTATAGAGGCAAGAATTCTGGATTCCAACACTGAAGCCTTTGTACCAGTGACAGAAGATAGTACAGGTACAGATTTTGACAGTGAGATCGTTTCCACATTACCGACTACTTTAGCAGAAACCACAAGACAAACTGCATATAATGAAGTTTATTCTCTATCCAATTTAGATAATGAAATGATGAGGGAAAGTTCTGGAAATTTCAGTGAAGTAGAGTCTCAGGAATTTCAAAGTACAGAGTATGCAGAGCTCGAAACCAGTACACCACCTATCAGCATAGATTTCACAAAGGCTACCATGTCAGACACTGAAATAGTAACCAGTGATTTTGATGATGATTCAGAAAGACTAACTACCGTAACTGCAGTTGAATTTGAAACTGTAACTGATAGAACTTATCTCGTCCTTGAGGATACAGATATTTATGAAAGTAATACTGTAACTGATTCAGGTGATGGTGATCATACCAGTAATACCAGTACTGATATGTTCACTGTAACTGACACCTCAGGACCATCTACTACCATATTATTGGACATTCCAAAGACGGAAGTTCCCAGGAATGAGTGGATGGTGGATGACGTAGTAAGTAAGGATATTCTTCTTGAAGCTTCCCCAACTGCAGGTGTAGGGGAGGTAACTGATGTTCCTGTGATTGACCCTTCAAAACTTGACTTTAAAATTGTAACAACAAGAAAGGGGCTGCAAGTAGATGCCCATGATACTACATTTGACCCTAGTCAAATTGCCAAAGCAACAAGCTATGTAGGTTCTTCATACTCCACAGCAACTAGAAGTGCAACAGTAACCACTTGGGTGGATCCTGATGACAAGAATGTTCTCACTCAGAGGCAGTCTAATTCAACAAATAGCAAGACTTCAGATGAAATAACACATTTGAAAAATTCAGAAGAGGCAAATGAAGATCCTATAATACCTAGTCATGCCCTTTCAGAGATAGCAGGAGACAACTCGGCACTAAATGATTCAGATGGCACCCTTATAATGCAGGATCAACCTGAAGTTAGAATGGTTCCTGAAGATGGTAATAAAATAACTGCAGACAAGTACGTTTATGTTTCAAGACATGAGATGTCTGATATTGATGACAAATACATCAATTTGAAGAATGAAAATATTAGTAACTTTAGAGAAATATCCAATCAAAATTACTCAAGTGTGCCTAAAAGTGAAGTTCCAGGAGCAGACTCTCCAAATAATACATCAGATAGCATACCTAAAGAAGCTCATGGGTATCATAACCTTACTTTCAGACTGGAGGGTCTTCCAATGCAAGACAAGTCAAATTATTCAAATGATGACAATATTAAGAATACAACAGATTTATTATATGAATTGCCAGGACCAAGTGTACAGAATAATACTGAAGTTTACTTTAGTACTTCAGTAGTAATTGCTCTTTCAGTATGTTGCAGTGTTGTTTTGCTTGCAGGTCTCGTGACATTTACATTATGGTTATGTCGTAGACATAGAAGTAGAAGTAAAATATATCTAAGTCGTGAAGCTGTAAAACCAAGAGCATTCTTCACAAAGCCAATGAATCCTGCACTACTCCCAGATGAAAGCATTAGAGACCCACAGTATGTTTTGGAGTTCCAGAGACCTAGGGCACCTGTAATGTTGGGTAATGACCAAAAAAATATAATTTTCAAGTCAGAAAAATCAGAGGATCTTGGCTTAGGTTTAGAAAATGATGGTTTCACTGATATTCCTCTTGAAGATCTCAAGATTGAAGGCTATAAAAAAAAGAAGAGACACTCACAAGATCCACCAAAATACAGTTCCAAAGCTAAAATGGAAAGTGACACAGACTCTGGAATAAGAGTTTGGTCATCAACAGGATCCTTGTATACTGCCTCACCCCAATTAACACATTGTTCAGTACCACCACCACCTTACTCTCCATCTATTGGGGAGGAACCTGTGTGTCTGTCAGTTCATTCACTTCCTTCTCTTTCTAAAAAGTTAGGGTTAATAGATTTGTAATGGTCATTGTTTGTGTGTTCATATAAGTCATTTAAGATGTGATATAGTGTAAAGGTATATACAATATATATATATGTTCCATTGACTTGCCATCTTGGAAGATTCCAAGACAGTAGGACCATACAAAACTTGAATGCAACTATTCAAATGTTAGTTTAAATAGTTATGTCTCTAATCTCAAATTGTGATATTCAAAATTACAAAGAAATTCTGGAAGGATCAAATCCCTGTAATGAATTTATTCTAATTTGGCCCAGGTACAGTGCAAGTAGTTAGCCATTAAAATTTTCTATAAAAAGTAAAGACTGTTATTAACATTGTATTTTATAACTTTATTTAAAACAGTTTTGCTAAACAGATGTTCCTAATTTATATACATGGGTTTGCTTATAAAAAGCCAGTTGCATTGCTTTAAGTTTCTTTTGGAAATTTGTTATAAGGTGAATATTTGCATTCTTTTCACTTTCATTCACCAGTAGAGTTTGCTTTTTGGGAAAATAACTTCTGATGGTTACATCTTATTTTTCTTGTGTGTCCTTTTTTAAGTGTAGATGTATCAAGTTTTGGTTCAGTCTAAAAACAATTTTTGATTACGGAGTGGTATGAGTCAACCAAATCTTTATAAATGTTATGTAGAGTAAACATGCTTTAAAAAAGACAACAATAAATAATAATTATTGGTTTCATTGGTATCCAGATATATATATAGATATATATATATGTCTAATGTAAACAATCATACACACAGGGAGGTTGTAGGGTCATTGCTTAATTACAGTGTTTTCTGAGTCAAGTTTACAAGTTTGTTTACACCGTTACCTTTGACTTAGGCTGTTCAATACACAGCTCAAAATTTTGTTATTTTTCCATAATGGTACATAACTACTCAGCATTAAACAAATATGCATGTTAGTACACCTGGAACCTAATGAAAAGTTTTTTAAATTGGAGCTCATATGATAGTGGCAAAAAGCTTTGCAAACACTCCTTTTGCTATCCTTGAATACTGCTGTTTTCTGAAGAGCTAACACAAGTAGTATGAAAATGCAATGCATTATTTCATTTCTCATATATTTATCTGTTATTTATTTATCATTTTTATTTTTATTTTTTTTTTTTATTGAAAAATATCAGTTGTTACAGGATATCACTGTCTCTGGAATTTCCCCTTACCTATATGTTTACTATGGGGTGTAATGCTCATGATGAACCATTACTAGGATACAAGTAAGCAAGAGAAGTACTTAAAATCATATGGTGTAAATTTGTAGTTTTCAATGTACAGATAGTAATATTGATGAAGTGCCACAGTAATCGTTTTTGCTGTACATTGCTACTTTTGGGTTTCATTGTCATCTGCAAACCAAAGACTAAGTAAGCTCTTTTTTATTTTTTATTTTATTATTTTTCTTCTCCATCTGTTGGGTTAGTCCTTTCAGAATATCAAAGAAATACCTCAGCATGTACATTCTGTAAATATTTATACTTCTAAGGAAAGTTACAATTTAGCTTTTTAGATAGGTACAGTTTCCATCCATTGTTACCAAAGCCATGTTACATTTCTTCCCCAATATCTTTTGTCATTTTTACTGTTAATATTATACAAATGATGAAAATAAAAAGTTATTATACTGCATTCTAATGTTTAGAGTGCATTGATTCTTGGGTATACTTTTGATGTAAAGTGTCCTGTTGTGTTTGTGATATATCTAAAATATATGCCGTATCAACAGCCAAGGTACTTTGTATTGTGATGTATCAGTAACATTTATAAACATACAAAACAATAACATTTTTACTTTGTTAATGTAAAATAAATTCATGTTTGGTTAACAGTTTGTATTGTCACTTGCCAGTATGAAGACTTGACAGTAGACATAAGCTTGAAGTACCTGGTATTATTAATGCAGCATTAGAGAATATTTTTAGGTTTCTGTAATCTTCAGATGTAGCTGGAGTCTAATAATTATAAAGAAAAAGGAAATTGAAATTTTATTTTTGTCCTCCCCCACATCAACTATAAACAAACAAAACATTTATGCATTGTAAAGATCAGGCATTAATCAGTCATGCAGTCTGGTGTGTCATATTAAGAAAATACAGTTTAAAAGTAAACCCAATTTACCTTAGAATGAGAATACATTTCAAACAAAAATCTTACCAGTCTGTTATTTTTCCTTGTTCACTGTTTCTGAATTCATCAATTGGCAGTTCAGCTCTTCCCAAGTTCAAATTAATGCATGGACTAATGAGTGAAAAAAGAAAGTACAGATATTACCTAAATTAATGCATGGACTAAGGAGTGAAAAAAGAAAGTACAGATATTACCTACAGTCCCTCCACCCCAATCCCATCCTATTGTTATAGGGGGTTTAGGAGATCCAATATTTAAGTCTTGTTTTCTTCTCACCCACCCCTAATCCATTGCTCGTTGTTGGGAGGGGGTGGTAGGAGACGGAGACCGGGTCCCAATGTAGGGGTGATCCCCTACCATGGACCTCAGTCATGGCCTCAACTAATTTTGCATGGTTTTTTCTTTTCCCCCTTTCCTTTTCCTTCTCTTCTTCATCCTTCTTCTGTCTACTTCCTAAGGTGTGAGAGCTGTGCTGAAAGACCTATGGGAGCCATGGGCACAGTATTCCTTTGGTTAATCGTCTAACCATTAACCCTCATGGGGTAGACTGTTTCCTCTCCCCATTTATTTCAGGCACACAATGCCCTCTCTCAATCCCTTGCTTGTTGTCGTGTGGGGGCTTAGGAGATGGGGACTGGGGCCCAATGTATAGATCACCCCTGCTTTGGTCCTCAGCCCTCGCCTCAACTAATTTTGCATGGACTTTTCTTCTCCTCTCCTTTCCCTTTACTTCATTCCCATGTTCTGTCCACTTATCCTAATCTTTAAACTCATTTTTGCCATTTTCTCCACAATACTTTATCATAATGCTCCTTACTACCCTTAACTCCTTCCCCTTCTAACAACCTTTATGTTATACTATACCCCATATACCCCATGTAACTTAATCCTAATCATTACCTCATTCCTGACCCTTTTTGTTAATCTACTTTACCTTAGTGCTGTATGACCTTTGATGTCATGTAGCACTTCCTTACTAGGGGCTTTTCCCCCTATGCCTTGTGCTATTACTATATTTTGGATATACCACTAGTGACTTTTGATGTTGGTGAGGCAGAAAATTTTAAATAAATCAATCAATCACCAGGGCTATTAAGTATAGTTTACTCTTATTAGGGGCATTAAGGCTTGTCCTATCATTAACTAGCGTATCTAAATTTGACCCCTCTAATCCTTTGCTTGTTGTCATGGAGGGGCTTAAGAGACAGGAATTGAAGCCCAATTTAGGGAATTGCCCCTACCTTGGACCTCAGTCCTCACCTCAACTAATTTTACAGTCTTTTCTTCTCCCTCTTTCCTTTTCCTTCTCATCTTCATTATTATTCTTCTTCTACGATGATTCCCTTATTTAGGGGTTGTCACTTTCCACATACTGCTTTTCTCCACTTCTTCCAGTCTTGTGCCCACTGATCTTCGATATTCCTTTTCTACATGTCGGCCATCACACAATCCAGCCACCTCTTTCTTTGTCTTCCTCTGCTTCGCTTTCCAGGGATAGGCAGATCCATTGCTTTCCGTATGCCTTCTTTTCACATGGCCGAACCATGTGAGTCTTGCCTCTTCGATCTTGCTACTAATGCTTGTGACTCCTGCTTCAGCTAAAACCTCTTTGTTTGTTCTCTGCTCTCTTAGACTGATTCCCAACATCCACCTCAGCATTCTCATTTCCGTTCTCTGCAGCAGGCTCTCTTCTTTTATTCTTAAGGCCCAAGTTTCTGCTCCATACAAAAACACAGGTCTTATCACAGTTTTGTATATTTTTGCCTTCAGCTTGGCTGATAACTTTTTGTTGCACATCACAGCAGAAACCTCTCGCCACTTGACCCACGCTGCCTTCACACAGTCTTTCACTGCTCTCTCACATCCTCTTTCACTTGCCATTGTGCTGCTGAGATACTTGAACTCGTAAACTTGGTCATACTTTGTGCCGCGCCACTCTCCTCTTTGATATTTATCTTTCTTCTTGCTCCTTTGCTGCTTCTCATGACGACAGTCTTCTTCATGTTCACTTTTAGCCCTCGATCCTCGAGTGCCTTCTTCCACTTTCTCAGCTGTGCTTCCAAGTTCATTTCACTCGTCGATGAAATGACCAAGTCATCGGCGAACAACATTTCCCAGAGCAATCCTCCTCCACACTCCTCGCTTACCACATCGATAACTATGATGAACAGGAGTGGACTCAGGCTTGATCCGTGGTGAAGGCTGACTTTTCACTTCAAATTCTTCTGATGTTCCCTGTGGCATTCTGACCATTGCGGTTACACTTTCGTAGTTATCTTTCACTGTGTTAATGAGGTACTCCGGAACTCCTTTCTTCCGTAGACATCAGTAGACCAACTCTCTGGACACCTTTTTCCAAGTCAACAAAGGCATGGTATAGGTTCTTGTCGCCTTCCAGATGTTTCTCTTGGAGCTGCCTGAGTATAAATACAGCATCAGTCGTGCCTCTCCCCGGTCTAATGCCAAACTGCATGGTTCCTATATCCACCACCACCTTGGATCTTCTGGTCCAGGATCTTTTCCTCAACTTTCAAGAAGTGTTCCAAGAGCTTGATACCATGGTGGTTCCCACATTCTAATACATCACCTTTCTGTTTATACACTGGCACTAGTATACTTGTCCTCCAATCTTCTGGGATGTTCTCTCCATTCCAATTTATTTTTAAGATCTCGTGGGTCCACATCGCACCTTCACTCCCCAAGACATCCAACATCTCTACCACCACCTCCGATGTGCCTGCTGACCTGTTCTTCTTCATCTTCTTGAGGACGGCTGACACCTCCTGCAGGCTTACTTGCTGTATCGGACCTTCCACTGCTGGTAGTTCTGTTAGCTCTTCCCATTCGTTCTCTACATTTAACAGGTGTTCAAAATATTCTCTCCATCTCCTTAGCACTTCTTCCTTCTCTACCAGAATCCATCCTTGCTCTTCACCACAGTCACTTTTGGGGTGTCTCTCTTTGCTCTTGCATGCTGCTTGGCCACTTTATAAATTCTCTTTTCGCTCTCTGGTGTTTCCATCTCTGCGTACCAGTCTCGAACTGCTTCCTCTTTGGCTACTGCCACGGCCCTTTTTGTCTCTCTCTTCGCCACCTTGTACCGGTTCCTTTTCTCCAGGCTCTCCTTGTCATCCTGCCACTCCTTGAAAGTTTTCTTCTTTTCCGTGATCTTCTCCCACACCTCTTCCGTCCACCACCATATTTCTCGTTCTCCTGGTCCTCTCCCACTTGTTCTTCCACACAGCTTTTCTGCCATTTCCACTGTTGCTTCCTTCAAGGCCTTCCACATTTCGGTTGCTGTCTCTCTCTTCGCTCTCTTCAGTCTCTCTCCCACTTGCCTTCTGTATTTCCTGCACATTCCTGTAGTTTCCACACCTTGATCTTCTGCAGCTTCTTTCCTGTTGTTTTTCCTCTCCTTTTCTTAGGGAACATCCCATCCATGACCAGCAGTCTGTGCTGGTGAGCAACTGCCTCTTCATCCACTTATCCAAATCATTAACTCATATTTACCCATTTTGCAACAGTACTTCACCATAGTGCTGTGTGCCCTTTGATGTCTGATACATTTGTTTATTTTGACCATTGACCATTCTGAAAACTACAAACATCACCTTACTGAGCCAAATAATTTTCTTACATGAGGGCTTTGTGTCCAAGCCCCACCCTATTCCTATATTTTTATATGCTGCTAATGACCTTAGATGTTGATGTGGCAGAATTTTTTCAATAATTAAGGTACAGAAAAATATAAAGAAGGGTGAGGATAGAGAGGGTGAGGAAATGGGTTCAGGCAGGGATTAACAAAAGAGGGAAAGAGGGGCAGGTTAAGGTTAATTAGATCAAATGGGGGAGGGGAAAGAGTTGTAAGAGGAAAAAGTGTGAAATTCCATTAGGATGTCCACAAGGGGTAGCAGAAGGGGAAAGGGGGAGGGTTATTATGAATGGGTGTTGGAGATATAACAAGGGAGCACGAGTAGGAGGATAGATGTCAGCAGTCACTGAGTGTAGAGGTAATGACAGCAGAGAAACTGGATGGTGGATGAAGGATTGACATTTTCTGGGGTCATTATTAGATACTGCTGAATGTATTCAAAAGTTTATAATAGTGAGTTGGTTGGGAAGGTCTGAGAAATGAAGTATTTATGAGGGGGTGAAGAGGAGACTGATGTCTGAGAAACAGAGGAAGAGGAAGGTGTAGGAGGGGATGTGGTAGAAGATGGGGTGGAGTGTTTAGATGTCTGATGTGACAGGTGGAGAGAGGAGGGGTAGGCATATGTGAAGTGATGGAGATTGGAATGTTTTGGATTTAGAAGAGCAAAAGAATTTGTAGGAGGAAGAGATACTAGAGAAGATGTAGAAACATCTTCTGAGGAAAGGGTAGGGACAGCAAAAGACAGCAGGGAACACAGGATAAACCTTTCATAATGCTTCTTGGCTGGCCTCGTGTAAAGTGAGGCCAAGTTTAAATCTGAAAAGTCTGAAGTGAAATTTGTCACTTCAGACTGAATCTTGTAGGTAGGCCAGCCCCTATAAATTACATTATGGGAGCTGCCACAATTGACACGTGTAATTGCGCAAATAGTTTGAACAATCATGACCAAGCTCACACATAAAGAAGGAGCTATGAAGTAAAAGTGCTTGGCTGGGTAGCCAAGACGCAAATATTTCTGATATTGACCAGATTATTTTATTTATTGAAAATTTTCTACCCTGTCAACAAGAGGCAAGGGATGGGGGAGCAGGAATATATTTATTCATTTATTGAAAATTTTCTGCCATTTCAACATCTAATGTTATTAGAAGTGTTTTCAAAATACAGTTATAAGGTGGAGCTCAGGGGCAAAGCCCACAGGTATGACATTTTTTTTTCGTACACAGGGCAATTTTTGTGGATTTTCAGGGTGGTCAATGGTTAAAACAAACAAATGTGCCAGACATAGCATTATGACAAAGTGTTGTGGCAAAAAGGCTAGACATTAATTAATGGTTAGGATAGGAGGGCAGAAGAAGGGATGAAGAAAAGAAGGAAAAAGAGAGAAGAAAAGACCAAAGGCTTAGGACACACAGACTGAAGTCCAATGTAAGGGATCACCCCTGCTTCAGTCTTTTCTTCTCTCACATTCCTTTCCTTCTCTTCATCATCCCCTACTGTCCACTTATCTAACTCACTTTTACCCTTTTTGCCATAATACTTTGTCATAATGCTATACTTGGGGGCTTTGCCTCCAAGCCTTACCCTATCACTGTATTTTGATTATGCTGCTAATGACCCTAGAAGATGATGTGCATAAGCTTTTCAATAAGTAAAATAAATAAGCAATCTACCATAAAAATATCAACCCTCATATAGTCCTTAATATATGAAACCAACAATTTTTCTATGCAAGAAATAAAAAAAAAAAGTAAATAATTATACAATACAGGATGGGATCAGTCTAAAGGCAAGAACAATAAGAAAAACAGACTGTGACACTTGGCAAAATAGTAGTGTAAGTTATCCCAATTTGGAACATTTTACTATTTGAATTTTTTGATTTAGGAATGTTCCCCTATATTATTATTATTATTTGTTAATTATTATTAATATAACCATCATAAATATTTATGCTATAATCAGTAAAAATAATAATTTTATGTATCATTATTTTACTCTCTTTTTTTAGTGTTCTGTGTATAACATTAACCCACTGCTGCCAGGGATAGCATATACGTACACGCCATGCCTACTGTGAGTTGACTTGTTTGATTGTTTTTACCCATAGATGGCTACATTTGTACTAAGTCACCAATGAGCCAATTACGAGTACTGCCTGTTTCGCCCGTTCATCCTTTTCACTGATTTACGAAAATATTTAACGTTATCCTAATTTGTTGTTAAAAATAACACCATCTATATTTATAGCACTTATAAGAATACATTTATTCCCACCAATTCAAGGAAAGGTGAAATCAGGACTAGCAGAGTCATCTATGTAGAGATATTTCACACAAAAAAAAAAAAAAAATGAGTACAGCATTTTCCCCACTTTTTATTCATTTTCCCTGGCGGCAAAGGGTTAAATTCACTGGGTGCAACAGGATAGCAAATTCTGTCAGCAGCTTATTTAATACAAGGCCCCTGACTAATACGGGGGGAAGAAAGAGCATTATGTGAAGGTCTAATTAAACTTACTACAAGATCCTTTTTATGAAAGTCAAGAACTAAGATCGTCAATTTCAGTGCTACAGCATTTAAATATAATTTACTTTTTTGTGTGAAATGGTTTGTGGAAATAATTTGATATATATATATTTTTTTTATTAAATAAAATTACCAACACATCAAAATGAATATACATAAGACCTCATGGGTAGCCTTTGTTAAGGAAGCTCTTTCTTGTATACTGCATACAGGATATATAAAGTAATTTCAATTCTATGACTGATACATAATTAAAATTCTGAAGACAGGCCATGAAATGTCATCCAATAAATTAATAAGGAAAACTTTATACACACTTTCTCACCCCCAAACTTATAAGGGTCTGTATTCAGAGACATTTTTAACCTATAGACTAACATGTGAAACAACCATAGATAACTTGAGTGGTCTAAAGTCCAATATATACTATTTGACAGTGCCTTGCAGGCAAGAGTGGAAAGTCCATCACTAAATACTTACATCTTTAAGAGACAAACCAGTGGATTGTCCTACCTGTAACTGAGTGGAATCAACAGATTCCGCTTATGGACTGATGGTCCACAAATTATTTTTTTTCTTGTTTTTCTTCTTCTCTCAATGGTGATACCATACTCGATCCCGACTACTGCGTTGAAAAACTAATCAACCACCTAGTCATCATCAGAACCATATATGACAAACTGGCGAGATCACAGCCTGCTGGACATGACAGATTGTGTGGGTTAATCTTTACTATCTAGTTTCCCTTCTTAAAAAGGAGTAACATGAAAAAGCTTCTTTGACAGAACTATCCCATCACTCACATATTTCAAAACCTGAGTTCAACCTTAATTTCAGAGTCAGTTACTCATAATATCATACACAATAATATTGCAAAAATGTAATGCACTAGTGTATAGTAAACACAAATTCCATTTAAGCTTACATAGGCTTTATCATATTTAAATTTCTACATATCAGAGTCAATATAGAGACTTTACCCAATACATTTATAATACATTAGAAACAAATTTCATTTTGTTTTTATTCATTTTTTTTAAATCTTTTTTTATCTATTTTTAAAATTATACCATAGGAATATATATGCAATTCTTGTTCTTGTTCTTGTTCTGAAAGACTGACTTTTCCAAATCGCATTATCTTAATATATAAAGAGGGGTTCAATAAATGTTAAAAAGACAACTTAGTAAACTTGTATTTAATGTCATTATTTTAAAAATCTCTTTCGGATGAAAAAAAGAAAATGCCTCAAATTTTAACCAGGACTTCATGGACTGTCATTGAAATAGTTGATAACAAACAATACATTCATAAAACAATTGTTTTCAAATACAATATGGAAGCCAAAAACTTAAACCCATTTTTTTGAGTTAAACCAGTGTTGCAATGGTTCCAGAGTTGAAAATTTCAATCCAGTACCCATCTGGATCTTGAATAAATGCAAGTCCTTTCATCTTTCCTATTTAATAAAGTAAAGAAAAAATGATATTAATAATGGTAATGGTCAATATACATATATATATATATATATACATAAATAGTTTTATATAGTTTTTCAAACTATATTTCTTATATTACAATAATCAAGGAATTAGGAAAACTTACCATCATTTGGCTTTTTCACAAACTTTACCCCAAGGGACTCGAATCTTTCACAGGCCTTATCTACATCAGGAACCATAACTCCAATGTGGCCTGGAGGAATTGGTAATAAAAAATTAAATAAAAATTAGTTTTTTTGAATGTAACTAACTGGAACATTAAGCATAAAAAAGGATTCCCATTTTTTTTTACATTTCAGGTACTATTCCTTTTTATAAATTATCACTTACCAAAGCCCTTTGGTTCAGAATTTCCATTGTGATATCCTGTGAAGTTTGGATCAGATTCTGTTCCCCAGTTGCTGGAAAGAAAAACAAAAATCAATCACAATATTGTTTTTCTTAAAAGATGGACATGGTGCATCCAAATTCTTATTTGTAAATAAAGTACTATATGATCTTTTTTATACAACACTTACTGTGTAAGCTCTACTGTAGCCTTTCTTGAGAAGCACCATGAAGTGCGTTCTGTTTCGTCTGAAGGTATATCATCCGCAGATTCATACCCAACGAAGTAAAGGGAGAATTTCATTGAGGGAAAATCTAATTTTTTTAGCAAGCGCATTCCCATAACACGAGTGTAAAAGTCCAATGATTGCTTTGGGTCCTTAATTCGAAACATTGTTTGCTGCATAATGAAGTCCTGAAACAAGAAAATGCTCTTAAATTTGCAACTTTGCTTATAAAAAGGTTTCCTTTTTCCCACCTAATATGTGTACAGACTGACTGATAACACTAACTGCAATCATAAAAGTTAAATAAATAAAAACCTTTGTAGACTCGTGTGGTTCTGCGCAGCATGCAACTGCCTCCTCATTTGTCAAGCCTTTTGGTTCCGCAGCCATGACTAATATTCCTAAGAAAAGTGGAATATAAAGAAATATTAATAAAACTGCATATATACATCATAAATATACATATATGGAACATGTCCCACTCTTAATGTTCAACTTTGGTAATGTGCAAACTACAAAAGGTTTCAGCTATGTCATATTCAGAAAGAACAATTAAATGAAATAAATATGAAATAAAATCACAATTCTTATACATATTTTAACAATCCAGGAAATAAAATGCACCTTAATACTGCAACCAGTATTATACAATAATGATGCTCATTCAACCAGTATGAAAGTACTGTAAGCTTATCTACATGATAAAGAACTCGCTCTTGAAACTTGCGGATTCACCTTACCTATCTTTGAGACACCTGAATGACCTTCAACATGGACTGTCATATCAAGGCGTCTTCTTATTCACCTTCACTTATGTCTGACATCTGTTTATTTTAGGTTTTCATGTCACTCTCAAATTTACGTAATTCCAAACTGCCTAATCTTACTTCATCTAAAATGCAGTTCTAGTGGTCATGGAAGGAAATGTTTAATGTTCTACTGAACATCAAGTGTTTACATGTTTACAATCTTTTAAATATACATTTACAGGAAAAAAAAACAAAAAAAATAATAATAGTAATAACCACTAAATACAGCCAGTACTCTTAAATCTTGGGCATCGACAACAAAAATAGTCTCATTACACTTACGTTGACTTCTGCAAGAGGTCTGAAATGCCGGCCGGAGGGCCTTGTATTTATATACTTCGCTCACAGCGAGAGCTCTGCTCCGGGAATTGGGGCTGAATCGTACTTTCAGCGG